TTCTAAGGTGCCTCCATCTAGTATTTTTGCTGAAGCATTTCAGGTTTAACTAGAATCTGATTTCTTTGATGGACACTGGAAATCTATCTAACTCTAATTCTATGAATAGGTCAGGATGTCTTAGGTAACCTAGCCTTTGATAAACTATCTGTTTGTGCAGGAACCCTTCTAGCTCATTGCTTATCTTAGCTTCAGTTAAACTGTTTGCTTCAAACTCCTTCTGTGACACCCCCTGAAGCTGCAGAGCAAGGTACCATGCCATGGTTTCTGAACACTGTGACCACACATCAATCCTCAAATACCTGGGTGTGATCCCATATTTTCAATTGGCTGCAAATATGTGTGAGTGATCATGTCTGATTGGCTACCCATAACATGCACTATTGAGTGAACACTAAATAACTGAAGAAATGTAAGCATTCATAAACTCAATACAGAGCATAGCTTCTGAGAACCTCCTTTAAGATAGAACAAAAGTACTTTTTTGCAGGAAAGATTTTTTGAAGAAGAAAGTTTATAGCAATGAATACTTACACTGACAATCTTTTTTTAATTTGAATTAGAAACAATATTGTTTTACATGTCAATCCCAGTTCCCTCTCCCTCCCCTCCTCCCCTACCACCACCCCAACTAAATCCCTACCTATCACATACCCTTTCTGATCCCCAGGGAGGATGAAGCATTCCATAGGGGGTCTTCAGAGTCTGTCATATCATTTGGGATAGGGCCTAGGCCCACCCCTATGTGTCTTGGCTCAGGGAGTATTCCTCTATGTGGAATGGGCTTCCAAAGTCCACACCTATGCTAGGGATAAGTACTGTTCTACTCAGGATCTTAATAAGAATAAAACAGAAAGGGAAATCTATATACAAATTTTTCCGATGAACACAAAAATTCTCAATAAAATACTTAAAATTAAATGCTTACAAATAAAATTAAATATTTACAAATTGAATTTAACAGTTCATTATTCAGTCCATACACCCTGACCAAGTCGATTTCATTCCAGGGACACAGGATTCAGTCAATGTATGCAAATATAAGCAAAGTACACAAATAGACTCACGGAGAGAAATTCCTGTTGTATTCTTGATAAGTGTAAAGAGTGTCTCCGATAAAATTCATCATTCCTTCGTGATAAAAGTTCTGAAGAAATTAGGAATAGATGGAACACACATCTAATAATAGAGGTGAAAGAGGCCTGGCTATGAAAAATAATTACCTTGTACTTCTTATAAAATGCCGAATCTATCTATCCACCCATCCACCTCTCTCTCTCTCTCTCTCTCTCTCTCTCTCTCTCTCTCTCTCTCTGTGTGTGTGTGTGTGTGTGTGTGTGTGTGTGTGTATGTGTACCTTTCTTTATGTGTAGAACATGAAAGTAGGAAGGAGACTGTGAGGCAGAAACTACTTAAGGGGAGGAAGGAAGAGAACAAAAGAGGAGAGCAAGAGGATGCGAGGGAGTCAAACATATGTATCACATATTTCATATGTATAAAAATGCCATTATTGACTTAGTTAGGGGCTATACTTTTAACATGACACTGTTTTGTAATTATGTTTGTGACTTCACAGTGTTAATGGGATGATGAGAGACAAAAGCCGTGTTCACTTTCATACTAATTTTCATGGAGATTTAATTTCAGATTGTTAAAATTCTGACAACACAGAAAAGTATCAGGTATACCCATGATATTCATTTGGTAGATTTATTAATGTTATTAGGAAATACCCTTTAGTAAAACTATAAATTTTGGCAATAGTATATTTATCATTTTTCTAGACTTTCACTTTACAGTTCACTACTTGAAGCAAAGCTATATTTACTTAAGCAATGAAAACCATCCATCACATTTAAACTTTAAAATGTCCATTTGTCAAGCTAGGATTGCATAGTGCCTTGATAATTGAAAAGGAGGGACAGTCATTCAGAGGTTTGCCTTGGGGGCAGTGGAATTGATTTTGCATACTAGAGGTCACCTTATACATTGTCTTAGAGTCAGATATGTGACCATCAAGAATTGAGCTGATGGTCTAAAAGAGAGTTTAGCTATAATTCATTTTCAGCGAGACCCTTAGGATGGGAATAACTGCTAGCAAATGACAACTGACAGCTCTGAAGATTTGATCAAGGAAAATCTGAACAGGGTTTACAAAAGCAAAGGGGACTACAATTCAATCTGCACTGGTTCTAGCTATCCTGATTTCTGCCAGTAATTGTTTGTATTGACTTTGATACTTACCTTCTTTTCATCCTGCACAGCTTATTTATTTGTGAAAGGTGAATCTTGAAATAAATTACTTCAATCTCTGTAAATAGAACATATTTTAAAAATATTCTGTCAATTTCTCAGATTCAATATTAATAGTAATACTGTATGATACACAATATAACTTCCTGAATGTATCAGAGATGAACTTGGAGAATAGAAATTTTCTTGATTGACTTCCTCAAGGGTTGAGAAGGATTGGGAAAGAGCCAACTGTCAGGGAACCATTTACCACTATGTGATGTTGGCTTATGAATTTTTATATTGTAAATTCAGAAAATAGTAAACAATACATTTATCTTCTTTATATTTTTAATTGAAATAGATTTGCACCACTTTCCATGATTCCCTTTTCTTCCTGAACCCTTCTATGTCTGCACCTCCTGAAGTTGACAGCCTCTTTTTCTTTGTGTGTGTGTGTGTGTGTGTGTGTGTGTGTGTGTGTGTGTGTGTGTGTGTAAAGCATGCTGAGCCCATTTTTGTTGTTGGAATGTATATGATTTCAAAGCTGACCACCCTGCAATGGACAACTGATAAGGGATCTCATACTTAGGAGAGATGAATTCTCCCTCTTCTGTCAGTCATGATTTGCCTGTAATTCTTTGTCTAGCATTGGGGCTCTATGAAAAACTTTCCCTTTCAATTTAGAATGTCTCTTAGTATTGTCATTTTCCTTGCCATGTTTATGAAGCCACTTTTAGGTAAGACTTTTACAGCAGATTTCCTAGTATTCAGACTCCTACAATCTTTCCATATTCTTTTCTGTGATGCTCCCTGAGTTATAAGTGTGAGAGTTGTGATGTAGATGTATCCACATGGACCGGGAACCCTGAGATCCATTAATTTCTGCTTTGTATCTAGTTGTGGTTTTCTGTGATGATTTCCATTTGTTGTAAGAAGATGCTTCTTTGATGAGTAGACACAGCTGCACTTACCTGTTCGTATAAGGACAAGATTAAGAATGTAGTAATAAATTATGCTTCTAAATATTCAATGGGGCCTTACTTTCAATAGCCAGGATAGGAAACAACCTAAATATATTCAGATGAGTGGGTGATGAAAATACGTTGTAAATACACAATGGAATAGTATCTGTCGGTAAAGAAAAAGGAAATCATGTAATTTGTTTGTAAATTGTTAGACCTAGAAAATATTATATTGTGATGTAAACCAGACCCAGAAAGACAAATGCTTGTTGTCTCTCATCTTGGTTCTTAGTTTCATATCCTGAGATATGAGTACATAATGTGAGAACCAAAGTTACATTTTATGCTTTAATTACTATGCCTTAGAGATCCACATAACAAAAATGCCTCTGATCTGAAAGCCTTTGCCCAAGGATAGATAGTTCCTGAAATGCTGGAGGCTATTGTTTATGGGAGATAATAGGCCACATGTTTGCTCTCCCTTAAACAAGTTTGTTTGACCAATCTGTACTGGATGTCCTTGATCACTTGTAGGCAGGAGGAGGTTCACATACAGGAAATATGTCAAGATGCATGAGTACCTCTGATTGGATGTAGGCCAGTGGTATGTCGGGATGCATGTTTGCCCCTGATTGGACCTGATGGGAAATACTTAAGCCACAGGAAACCTTGATTCAGGTCCATCTTCTGTAAACCCCATGACGGACTTTTCCAGAGCCAATCCACCTGATCAGTATTTAATTAAAGCTTGTTTCAAATTTGGATTTAAATTGTGGCAAAGGTCGTATTCTTAAATAACAATAACATGGAGTAAACACTAAAACCAGAAAAGTATAAAAGAATGATATATATCAATTGGCCTATAGTTCAAAGAAAGTCCATTTGGCATCAGTGTATGTGGGTTTTGTTTTGTTGACTTGGGTGTGGTAGATCAATGGTGTAAAGTCAGTTACCTTCAGAGCTGTATCAGTGGAGAGAATCACCCTTGCAGGATTATTTGCAGATTAGTTTCAGCGTCCCTTTAGATATTTGCTTGAACCAGATAGTATCACTGAACTTGAACAAGAGGAAGTGGGTGATGAGCTCAGAAGTCAGCGGGGTCTCTCAGATAGTTCAATGAATAGCCTGTATGGAGAACTGGAGGGCCTGAAATAACTTGAGGAAGGAATGCTTAGTGAGTTATGCCAACTGCTGCTCTCCAAGCCTGGGAAGCAGTTGAAAAGGTCTTCCAAACATAATTTCATGAGGGGGATGTAAATCCTTCACTTTATAGGGTTCAGTGGGCTGAAGCCAAACAAAGAAAGGAGGTCTATCCACAATTTGCTGGACTCCACTGAGAGTTTTGTTAGTTTCCTTTAATGCCCAATTTATTCTTTTTACCTGGCCAGAACTCTAAAGTTTATATGTACAATGAAGTTTTGATCTATGTCTAAAGCTTTAACTATTGTGAGGTTTTTGGCTATGAAAGTTGGGCCACTATTTGACACCATTACTAGGGGGAGGCCAAATCAGGGGATCATGGAGGAACTTTTTGCTACTATTTGAACAGTTTCAGCCTTGGTGGTAAACATGCCTATTCCCCTGAAAAGGCTGTCTATAAAAACTAGCAAGTATTTTTGTCCTCCCTTAGCAGGTCAGATCTCTGAGAAGTCAGTTTTCCAAGAGCTCACTTGGGTGTTAGTCTCTCATTTGTGCCCCTTCCTGGGTAAGAGTTCTCTGTTTTGGATTCACTTGAGCACAGACTGGGCATCTGGCTGAGACATCCCTTGCTAGGCTGTCTAGTATAGGTATAGCATTCATTACCTTGGTCCGAGCAACTCCAAAAATTGTGTGGAGCACAGATGAGTAGCCTGATGAAGGCCAGTTACCAGAGTCATGCTGGTTGTTTCTGGGAGAATGATCTTTCCCTCTGGTATCCTGCATCAGTCTGTGGGCTTAAGCTGTCCATTCCTTCTTTACCAAGGAATCTCACCAGGTCATGGTAAGTCATTAGAATGTTCATAGGCCCCCTCTCCTCTCCCCCATGCTCCCAATTAGCTCAGGAGATCTCCCTTTCCCCTTTGACAGGGGACCATGTATGTCTCTCTTAGGGTCCTCCTGGTTTCCTAGCTTCTCTGGCAGTGTGGATTGTAGGTTGGTAGTCCTTTGCTCTATGTCTAAAATCAATATATGAGTGAGTACATACCATTTTTGTCTTTTTGAGTCTGGGTTACCTCACTCAGAATGGTTTCTTCTAGTTCCACCCATTTTCCTGTGAATTTCAAGATTCCATTTTCCCCACTGAGTAGTACTCCATTATGTAAATATACCACATTCTCTCCATCCATTCTTCAGTTGACTACCTTATATGCCATCCTAGAACTTTCATCCAGTAGTGATGGAAGCAGAAGCAGACACCCACAGCTAAACACTGAGCTGAACTCTGGAATCCAGTTGCACAGAGGAAGGAGCGATGAGCAAAGGGGTCAAGACCAGGTTGGAGAAACCCACAGAAACAGCTGACCTGAACAAGGGGTTGCTCATGGACCCCAGACTGATACCTGGGAAACCAGCATAGGACCGATCCAGACCAGGTGAACGAAGGTGTCAGTTAGGAGGACTGGACAATCTATGGGGCCTCTGGTAGTGGATCAGTATTTATTCCTAGTATACGAATGGACTTTGGGAGCACAATCCACATAGAGGGATACTCTCTCAGCCTAGACACATGGGGGAGGGTCTAGGCCTTTGTACAAATGATATGACAGACTCTCAAGATGCCCCCATGGAAGGCCTAACCCTCCCTGGGGAGCAGAAAGGGGTTGAGATAGGGGGTGGTGGCAGGGGAGTAGGGGAGAGAGAGGGAACTGGGATTGACATGTAAAAGAAGCTTGTTTCTAATTTAAAATTGGTCTAATTACAATTATAAAAATAAAAAAAATGTCAATAGGATCCACTGGTCTTAGGAACCTTTGTCAGGTAGCCAGTTCAGAAGCCTAACAGTAAGAGACAGCAATTTGTAGGGAAAGCAAAATACTTCTATGAATATATTGTTTCAAAGGCATGCATACTCTCTCTCTCTCTCTCTCTCTCTCTCTCTCTCCCTTCCTTTCTTTTTTCTTTCTTTCTTTTTGTTTTTTGAGACAGGGTTTCTCTGTTTAACAGCTGCATGTGTCTTAGAACTCATTTTATAGACCAGGTCAGCCTCTAGCTCACAGAGATCTGCCTGCCTCTGCCTCACAAATGCTGGTATTAAAGGTGTGTGCAACCATGCTTGCCTAGAGCACCACATTTTTAGTGCTCCCTTTTCCCAGAAGTGAGAAGCTCTCTTTGTCTACAGATGATACTGTGTACATGCCTATTTGTAAAAGTATATCAAATGATGGTCTGTGTACATTTTGGGCAAGTAAGTTTCCTTTTCCCCATCTGATTGTCTGGGTCAGATCATTATGTTCTGGTCTCTGGGCTGGGGTGTCTGGCTTGGGCCCAAATCATTTTGATTAATGTAACTACTGTAACTCCAATAAATAACCTGCTTACATCACCTGGCACTCATGGATGTACATCTGTGTCATCAGGCAAGGTAGTAGTCAAGTTGATGGTGGTTGGTTTCTTAAACCAGACTCAAATTTGGACCAGAAGTAGGACCTGGTACTGGGTCAAACAGTCATTTAGATAGCCAGCATTCTGGTGCTTCTCAGAACAAGGCCTCAACCATGTCATGGGATGCTGTGAATATAATATCTTTGAAGAGTTAACTTGTTTGCTTTCCTTCTTTAAACTAGCAATGGGGCCATCCTGTGGTTACAAGGTACAATCATTTGGACAGTTATGTCACAGAGTATATCCCTGGCCCAAAAATTTGGGTTGAAACCCCTTTTGTCTTTGGTTTCATGGACAAATGAAAAGGTTTTTAAAACATCTGAAACTTCTAAGGCTTAAGTCAACACCAGCTGTTTTTAAAGTCTCAAGGGTCTTTTGTTTACTCTCAGTTCATATTATAGGACTAACGCCTTTGTGCTGGTGTATGGATGCCTTGTTATTTCCACAAACTCTGAGGCAGCAACAGCCAGTTGCACCTAGGAACTTTTAAACTGTCTCTCAGTCTTTGGAATTGGAATCCAAAGGATGATAGCAACCCTACTCTGAGACAGGCTTTTTACCTTCCTTCAGCTGGTAGCCAAGCTAGGCAGTCATTTACAAAGTTGGACTTTCTTCACCAACATTCTATAGCCCAAAGTCTGTAACTTGCAGCAGTCACTCAGCTACCCTTTTATAATCTATTTCCCAGGAAAGCTCTGACAAAAGGGCAGAAAGTCTGCATTTAATTTCCTTAAATGGGGCAACCTAGTTCAGGTATGTTTCATGCTCCAACACACACACACACACACACACACACACACACACACACACACACACACACACACACACACACACTGGGTCAGTCCATTTAAAAACACAGATGTGTTGACTCACCTCTGCCAATGGGAGGCTGATGAATGCATATTTCAGGTCCAAGACAGCGGACACCTGTTTCTCTGGAAGAATCAGACACATGAGACCCAGATGCCCCAGTTTTCTTCACAGGCAGGAGAGGTATATTCCAGGGTGACTGCACGGGCACCGTGATATCTGTTTCTTTAATCCAGAAGAGAAGGATTGCAATTCCCTTTTTTGTTTTCAGGGTCATTGGGTATTGTTTAGTCTAGATGAGGGTGGCTGAACTGGTAAGCCTAACAATTAAAGGAACTTGGTGTCAGGGCAGTCCTGGGGATTGGTTTCTACCCATACCCTCAGGAATCTCTATTATCAATCTGAGAGATAGTCTAACTGCATCTTTGATTTTGGGCAGGACTTTCACCTAAGAGATATTCTTTAGACAGAGGGTAAGATGTAGGGCACATGAGCCAGTAAAAGATGATGCCGAGAGGAAGTCAAATGTGTGAGTCTTGAGTTGTTTACATAAAGATATTTGGTTGCCTAGATTGAACTAGATGAGGTCACTACATGAACAGCTTATGTTCACTAGGTAAAGCATACGATGCCTAGGCTCGTGATAGGCTAACCTTTAAAATCATTGGCTGGCTGTTTTCCTGCTCTGTGGTTTTTTGCTTTAAAAGATGCTTGCTGTGGGACAATAAATGAGTTCCTGCTTGACTAGACTCCTTGCTGCATCTGATTGTCTTCGGGATCCTGGGAGGCTTGTGAATGGGCAAGCTTTTCACTTACCCTTCCTTGGACCCAGCTCAGCCTTCTGTGGTTGGGCTTAGACACTGCAGTAAGACACAAAATTTTCCTTGGTGTCTGTAAGTCTAACTGCCTCTTATCAACAGAGAAGGTAACAGTGGCTTTCAATTTATGCAAAAGTTCTTGTTCCAGTCAGATTTATGTTGTTAAACATTTTAAAACCTGTCTCCAACTATTGGGACCTACTCACACCTTAAAAATTTTAAAACTTTTATAACTTTATTTTAATATCGGTGCCCAACTGGGTGACAAAAGAAATCTTTTTAGCAACTGTCTTTAATCTTTTAAAAAGGATGTAGCAAAAGTTTGTAAAGTTTCCTGGATCAGTGATGGCTGTGTTGTCTGGCCATGATCCCTCTGCCCAGCCCAGGGTTGTTTTTTTTTTTGTTTGCTTGTTTGTTTTTCAGAGAATTGTGAGTTTAACATGTTATTGGTTGAAAAGAAGACATAAATAATGAAATAGGAATGGAGCTTTCTATTTTCCTTCAGACTCATCTCAGCAAAACATTTCCCCTTACCTTGGGCTACTTAGAGCAGGCACCAAGTAGAGCAGAGGTAATATTCACCTGGGGGAACTGTTTCTCCCTTTCTATGTGCATTCCACTTAGATGGCAGGGGACCCTGGATGAGAGGCCTGACTCCTCCTCTCCTCCACATAGTGACCAAAGCTGACTATGAACAGGAGCCATGCAATGAAACAAGTAAGAGCTTCTGTTCCTGGAGCGGGACAGGTGGAATTTGGGTTTCTCTGGGTGACATGGCAGAGTCAACAAGATTTGGGCCCCAACATGAGTGACTAAAGTGGGTATAAAGCTAGGTTCAGGGAAAGTCTTGCACCAGGGAAAGCCTTCAGTCAATACAGGCAAACAAAGCTGACAGAAACACATAGAAATACATACACACACATATACACACATATGCACAGAGAAACACAGTAAAAACAACCAGGGGTGCTCACCACATATTCATATACCACATCCAAAAATCTCTGAATGGAAAGCAGGAACAGCTAAAAACTACTTAAGAAGTGATTTAGACAACCTGCTCTTCCTCACTGTCTATAAATGGGACCGAGGACACCAATGAGGATGTGTAGAATTTTTAAGAACAGTTCAATGGAAAAGCATGGACAATTGCTGTAGGCAAGATAAAAGAATCATTTGTATGTTTTTAGACTCTTGATGTTTGATGATTCCCTTTCTCTGTGGTCTCAGCCATGTGTTGATTAGCCAGGTTTCTCCCTTGTGTTTTTTATACAAAAACTGATAGAACCTTTTTTTTTTTTTTTACAAGACTTCTTCTCATTACAGAGGAGATTTCTTCTGATGAGTTTCACCATAAAACAACTACAGTTGTCCCTCATGGATACACAACAGGACCTCTGATTGGTACCCTGATTAATTAAAACATTTGATGAACTTCCAGATACCAGTGACATTCTCTGGCTACAGGGTACTTTCCTTCCCTTCACTCTTGACCAAATAAAGTTTGTCACATTAACTCCTCATTTTCTCCAATTCACCCCCATTCACATCTCACTTTTCCTCCCCTCATGGCCATTGAACTCTAATGGGATCACAAATAATTAAACTTCTGTAGGTAATATTTGGATATGTGGATCACAATGTCCTTCTCTCACATGGGCTTCCATAATAGTATTTGATTATTGTTCTCTATAATGCTAGTTAAGTGGTTCCCAGATAATGGACTCTAACTGCAAAGCATCACTCCTGCTATCCTCTATGTAGTAGAGAACTTACACCTGCTCACAAGTATGTGCTTCCTAGACAATCTATTCCCTTTGTGATATATTTTCTTAACTTACTTCAAAATCTCTTAAATACCCAACTTCAACAAAAAAAAAAAACAAAAAAACACAGCTCTTCCTTATCTAATCTGTTTGCTAGGTGTGTCTTCACCTGTCTTAAATTACAGATCACACATCCCATGATTCAATTGCTGGCTTACGTTGCAGTTGGGTTTACATTTTACCTGACAGGATATCCATGAATTTTCAATTTAAAGAGAATTATCTGTATTAATTACAGACAATTTCTTACAAAAGTTCTCCCCAACAATGCTGATTCAAGATACCATACCAAAAACAAATGACCCTGGACTCCCAGGCCCTGATATGTGTCTCTAGAGTCCAATTTCTGACTTCATCTCCTATGGCTTCACTCCAACTTTACCTACATAATCTTACTCTTAGTCTATGGCCCTACAAGGCTACATAAACTGCATCAGAGGTGGACACTAAAATTCCCAAAGGAGACAAAACATGGAATTTTAGTCACCTGCCCCACTGGATTTTCAACTTTCAACTTGTCTGGACCTGTTCTTGACTCAAATATTCCTAGAGTCGAGGAAAGGGACCTGACTTCCCCATTAGAGGAGAAATATTTATAGGAAATACCATGATTCATTCTCTTTGAACCTGACACAGCCAATACTTGGCACCTCTTAAATTTCCACCTGCCCTACTATTATTTTCTCAACACCAGTACTTGTTACCTGGCTGAAGAAAATCTCCCAAATAAACCAATCTTTTATGGCCAATCTACAACCTTTCACCACTATGTTGCTGGGACACAGTTTTACCCTGTAGTACACTTGAAAGAAATAAGAACTTCTAGAAAAAGAAATCCATTAAACAATCCATTTTAACCTCCTTCTCTCTCTTTCCTATAAATTAGGACTCTTAGATTTATGGAAAAAATGACTGTGTATGTTTGCCCACTAACTGAACAGGTACTTGTACTGTTCCCTTAACATTTCCATCATTTCCCATGGAACACCAAACCCCATCATTATGCTTATCTCAGCAAAATAAACCACCCAGCTCATCTCTCTTGCCAGTCTGGGCATTCATTCAGGCCTTGGAATGAGAACAATGGGCCAGGGGGCTTCATTGTATCAACTAAATTCTCTGTCTCAGAAAACCTTAAAGAAACTTCAGATCAGTTTAGCACCTTTCAAGATCAACTAAATTTTCTGAACACTGTGGTCCTTCCTAAACAATAAAGATTAAGACTTAATATTACACCCAACTGGACAATTTGTAGCCTCTTCCAGGAACAATGCCACTTCTACAACAACGGATTCAATCCTGATTTAACTTTGGTAAGTGGCACATATTGAGAGAGTTTCTCTTTTCTTTTAGATTTTCCACTTTGCTTGAGTACAGATTTTTAAAGTATGTCCTTGTGGTTCTCTGGATTTACTTTGTATCTGCTGTTATACCCTTCTTTTCATTTCTGATTTTGTTGATTTGGATAGGGGTTTCTCTATCTTGTTGATTTTCTTGAAGAACCAACTGTCTGTTTCATTGATTCTTTGTATTTTTCTCTTCATTTTTATTTTATTGATTTCAGCCCTCATTTGGATTATTTCTTAACATCTACTCATTTTAGGTGTGCTTTTATCTTTTTGTTCTAGAGATTTCAGGTGTGCTGTTAAGCTGCTAGTATTAAACTGGAGATGGTTTGTTTGGATTTTTTCCCAGACAGGGTTTCTCTGTGTGGCTTTGGAGCCTATCCTGGCACTTGCTCTGTAGAACAGGCTGGCCTCAAACTCACAGTGGATTTCTTTTTAATGTAGTCATTTAGTGCTATGAACTTTCCTCTTAGCACCACTTTCATTGTGTTCCATAAATTTGGGTGGCTGTGTATTCTTTATCAGTGAATTCTAGAAGTCTTTAATTTCTTATTTCTGTCTTTACCTATTTTTATTCAGTAGAGATTTGATGAGTTTCTAGCCATATATATGCTTTCTGTTGTTTATGTTGTTGATATGCAGTTTTAATCAATGGTGGTATGGTAGGATAAAGGGAGTTGTTTCAGTTTTCTTGTATTTTATCAGATTTGCTTTTTGTCTGTTCAGTGTTGGACAAAATTCTATGAGGTACAGAGAAAAAGACATATTAGTTTGTGTTAGGGTGAAATGTTCTCTAAATATCTGTTACGTCCAGTGTTTCTCTGTTTAGTTTTGTTTGGATGACCAGTCTATTGGTGAGTATGAGGTATTAAAGTCTCCTGATAACAGTGTATGAGGTTCCATATATGATTTAAGCTGTAGTGGTTATTTCTTTTACAAACCTGGGTGCCATTGTGTTTGGGGAATAGATGTTAAGTATTGAAATGTGTTCTCGGTGGACTTTTCCTTTGATGAATATATATTTTACTTTCCTATCTCTTTTATTAGATATATTTCTTTCCTTTGATTAGTTGTTAGTTTCTTCTTACATCCATTCATCTGTATATAGAGGAGAGGACTAGGGAGGACATGTATATCTCCCTGGGAAGGGGTATTAGAATAATTTAATGGGTGGTCTGGGGGCAGGTGGGGATGCAAATTAGAAGGTCAGGTGGGAAAAGAGAGGTGACATGGGTTTGAGAGAGGAAGTGTGAGAAGAGACAGCTAGAAATGAGGGCTTGCATGAGA